GGACGGGTACGGGTAGGTCGGGTGGTTGGTTGTGTTGGTTGGTTGGTGGTCGTCGGTCGTCGGTCGGTCGTCGGTCGTCGTCGGTCGTGTCGTGTGTGTGTGTGTGTGTGTGTGTGTGTGTGTGTGTGTGTGTGTGTGTGTGTGTGTGTGTGTGTGTGTGTGTGTGTGTGTGTGTATGTGTGTGTGAAATGTGTGCCAACGTGCGCGCGCATCTCGGAATCTGGCAGCTAGCGCTGGCGCGCGAGTCGCAGCATCTGGATGCGAACCCCCGCCTCACGTCAATATGAGATTACACGCTCCAAAAAGCACGATTGGTGAATTTGTTTATATCAATTGCCGGCTAACGGCTAACGTCGGACTAACGGCTCAAGACTGTGGCTGCCTTCCCGCGCCTGCCATTCCCTGCCGCGACGGGGGTACCCTGGCTAAATCGTGTCTGCGAGGTAATTGGTTTCTTCGCAACCAGGGGTCACCACGTTACACACGTTCGCGAGAAGGCAAGTTCGGTTTATATAGGAGGCACGCATACAGCGAGTAGTCTTCCGCCAAATGTTCACCAAATGTTGCGTTAATTCGGGTCTGGAGAAGGCCTTCTTTTGAATTTTTGGAAGGATATTTTTTGCAATACTATTCGACACTAGAGTGCACGAATTTGCATTAAAGACGCAAGGAAAGTGAGATTGGTCTTGCCGTGTAATTGTGCCCACGCGCGCACGCGCACGCACGCCCCCCCCTCCACACACACATGCACACACGGCTCTGCGGCTTCTAGCAACAATACCCCCCTCTCGCCTCTAACCAGGATATTTATTTATTTGTCAGGGGACTGAACACAGTCCTATATATAAACAGGCACGGGAGCTCTCCGCCTACTCGCCCTCTGATTAATATACCGAAGCGAAGTTGGATGTATATACACGGATCGCCGTGGCGCAGAGGGGAGAGAAATAATAACGGGAGTTTTCAATGACCTGATAACATTTGCAATATCGGGGCGGGCTTTCGCGTGACGCCACGAGCGATGTGACGTCACAGTCGCCGTGTAGACAGACGTGCGCTCGTCACGCGTCACAGCGGCTGCGATGCCTGTCCGTTAGAACAGAGGATCCGTGCATGGCCTAATAAGGTCGAGTCCAGCTAATTATTTTACGGTCGTACCTATTTGTACTTCACCGCTTGCATGTCCGAGAGGTCCGATTTCCATCGCAAAATCTCACACTATATATATATATGTATCAGTTTTCGGCATATATATATATATATATATATATATATATATATATATATATATATAT